TTTTTTTCTAAGTTTTTTCTAATTAACTGTGAAGTGGTTAATTAATATTTTACCTTCACCAAAAGTGATCAACTTGATGGTCCCAACTCCACCATCTCCCTCTAAGATCTCGAAGCTCTTGATGGCTCCCGGCAAGACCTTCGGGATGAGGTTGTGAGCGTCAAGGATGAACGATTTGAACAACCTGCCTGGAGAGATTTTCGAGCACTCTTCGTGTTCGTAAGAGATCACACCCATGTTGGAATTTTATCTAAAAAAGATTCAAGAAAAAGAAAATGTATATATAGAGAGAGAATTAAGATGAAATTTGATCAAGATGCTTGTGTGTTTTTTGTGTGTGAAGCATGATGAGAAACAAAGACACTATTTATAAGTGAAAGGCAAACTTTAGACTGCCCTGTGAGAACAGATTAGATTATTGATTATCAGATATCAAACTACTACTTGTTTGTTCATATCATATTTAAATTTATTCAAAATTGTTAATTGTATAACCATTAATCTGCTTAATATGTATCAATTGTTAATATAATGACATATTAGTTGAAATATTTGAAGAGTAACCAAGAGTTGGTTCAAGTGGTAAGCAGTTTGATGTCCCTTAATCAAGGTGTCAGGTTCGAGTCCTTGTGGATGTAGAAAATTTGGAGACTCACACATCACTGTCAGGTGTGCGATCCGAGTCGATCAATAGATTAGTAGGAGCATAGCTCCAGATACCGTGGCTGACTAAAAAAAAATATATTTGAAGAGTAAATGGAATTTTTCTTTATTGAAAGTAATTGACATTTTTTTGCCTATTTTTTAAAAATTAAGAAATTCCACATGGATAATAATCATCAAAGCTTAGAAGTTTCCTCCAACAACTAAATGTATTTTAAATTGATATTAACATGATTTTTAATGAAGATATTTTATTTAATAAGGGCTGCTTAAGTAGTTCAAAATATGTAGGCTTCTCGTGTAATTTAATGTTAGTTGTGTTAAGAGTTGTGATGTTATCTATACTAAATCAACACACGAAATAATTAAAATATGATCAACTGGATTAATTAATTCTGTTTTCTAATGTGAACTCTATATATTGTTTTCAACTAGTTTACTCATTCATCGTTCTGCATTGACTTTTACATTGATATGAAAATTAAAAACAACTAGCGATAATTATGTGTATAAATATATAAAATATAAAATGGAGAAATTAGTAGTGGAGCAGGTGTTGTCCAAAAGTAGTTAAAAAAAAANNNAAAAAAAAAGAAAAAGGAGCCGCCCACATGACGGTTTACTAATTGATCGGTGACCAAAAAATTTGAACCATTTTTTGATTTATGTGTGTCGTTCTTGCGTAGGAATTACGCTAATCTTCTCTGTATCGTTTCAATTTTATCAAATTCCCCGCAGGGACGTATCCAAAAAATGATAAGAATTTAAAGTAAAGATGATCCATGAAAAAATTATATACATCATAAATAATATCTAGAATTTCTTATATGCATTGAGGGTTGGATCCACAAATTGAGTAGGTTGCGCTGTAATTTTAAAAACTCATATTCATACAAATTACATATGTTTTTTCTTTTAATATTCACTGAAGTTGTATTCGACGAGCTTTTACAGAATAAAATTCATTATGCTTACTTTGCACCGTATTTGGTGTGCTTTCACTAGTTTGACGATCTCGTTTTCTAAAGAACAATAAATCAATGGGGTTTTCCTTTCTTGGTTGCATGTTGGTGTTCCGTGTGAATTTCGAAAATTCCACAATAGCAATAATTTGATTTTCCATATGACATAGTTATTAGCAAAATAAAATGCTTACGCATCATAAAATTAACTCCAAATATGATATACAACAACCACACTAGAAGATGAGAGAAGAAAAAAAAATAAAATAAAATACACACACACACACACACAAAATTTACTACTTCATACAAGATCTACAAAACAAGAATTACAACCAAATGATCCTAGCAGTTATTATTAAAGTCATAAATAATTCAACTGAAATGAAAAGATAAATAAAGACAATCAGAAATATGAAACAAATATCTAAATATGGTTTGAAAAATATAACTTACTATTAAAAAAGAAATTAAATCATCTTCTTGAAAGTAGTCTTTTTCTTGCTGAATGTTTTTTTTTTTTTTTTTNNNNTTTTTGGGTTCTTCTCAATTCATTGTTATTAGAGGTGAGCAAAACCGAGTCGAAACTGAAAAACAAAAATAAACCGATGTATTTGGTGCTGTTAAAATTTTGAAAACCGCACAAATTTCGGTGTGGTTCAATTTTTTGTCCACAAGGTGTAGTTTTAACCGAACCGCACCGTATATGTTTAAAAAAATAAAAATATATTAACATTTTTGTACTATATACATGCTAATTTTGGGCCTTTCGTTTGGGGTGGCTAACATTAACAATAAATGGGTAAAGTAATAAATAATAACAATAACAATTGACAATTAAAAAGTTATATTAAAATCTAACTCATTGCCCTAGTTTTTCACTTTCAATTCAAATTTTGGGCCTTTGGTTTGGTATTGTTGCACATTAGATGATGATGGTGATGTATAGCTTCATTTTATTTTGGTTTTTTTTTTATATTGTGGTTAACCGAAACAACACCGAACCGACCAAAAATTTCAATGCGGTTTTTGTTCGATTTTATTCCAATTTTGGTGCATTTCGATTTGGACAAATGAACATTTTCGATTTTTGATTTTTTGCGGTGCGGTGCGGTTTTGCACCGAACCGCACCATGTTCACCCCTAATTGTTATGGTGTTTAGAGGTGGGGCATGTCTGCAACTGACTTATTTGATTGAAGTTTGATGTATAGTGGTGTTTTGTGGGTTAGTGACTAGTGGGAAGGATGAGTAAATGTAGACATCGAAATTTTAATATTTTATTAATTAATATCTTTATTTATTTTGGGACATAAATCCAAGATAAATAAGATATTTAATTAGTAAAGTTATTATTTGTGGTCTACTAAGTCAAATCTTACGATAAGGAAAGAGATTATATCAAATCTTAGGAGAAAGAAAGAGCTTATATCAAATCTTAGGAAAATGAAAGAGATTATGTCAAATGATGGAGCGATCAAATTGAAGTCTTCTTCTCCAAGACTCTCTCTCCTAAACCTAGGACTCCTCAATTCCATAAAGACCAATTCAAAATATAAAAAACATCTCAAATTCCCTTTTGAAGATTTAAAGAAGTTCTTGAAAACCACCCACTTGAATATTTGAAAAAGTTCTTGAAGAACCGCCCGAAGTCCGTGTAGACATCAAAATTTTCATATTTTATTAATTAATGTCTTTATTTATTTTGGGATATAAATCCAAGATAAATAAGATATTTAATTAATAAAGTAATTATTTCTTGACCACCAAGTCAAATCTTATGATAAGGAAAGAGATTATATCAAATTTTAGGAGAAGGAAAGAGATTATGTCAAATCATAAAGGACCAATCAAAATGAAATCTTCTTCTCCAAGACTCTCTCTCCTACACCTATAAATAGGGTTCTCTTTAATGCCACAAATCACACATCAAAATATCAAACACATCTTGAAAATTAAAGTCTCAAATTCAAGAGCTCTCAAGACCCCTCTTGAAGATTTGAAGAAGTTCTTGAAGAACTGCCTGAAATTCGTTCAATGAAGAAGAAGAAAAAGAGTCGACAACTCTTCCCCAAGAAGTAAAGAAACGACTTCCACTCCTTTCAAATCAATCCAAGAATATCAACGACGTTCAAGCGACATTCAAGCCTCGTTCGTTGAGAAGTTCAACCAACATAGCGTTTGATCCGGGAAAAAGCTATCAAGCCTCCGAGTCGACGTTATTCAAGTCAAAATTCGTCTTTCAAAAAGATCAAGGAATCAAGTCCTCTAAGAAGTCTTTTTCAACCAAGTCAAGGCCTAACATTTAATACGGGAATAAGTCATTCGACCCCCAAGTTAATGTTAGAGAAAT